AGAAGTTGTGTGGTTTATCAAGTGGATTGTATTATATATACATAAAGACAATCTAAGCACATAATCTAGTGAAGCAGAAGTTCATTGATACAAAATTTTACATGCTTTGCATGACCTTCTGGGTCATCCAAGATCCACCATGATGCATATGATTATTACCAACTCTAATGGGCATCCCTTATTGAGCAGACATATTACTATATTAAATGATAACCCTTATTCTCAAGGGAAGTTGGTAATTAGACCATCGCAATCAAATATGGTGCTGAATCCCTATCATTTTTTCAAAGAATTCAGGGGAATATTTGTGAGCATATTCAACCACTTTATGGACCATTTTGATATTTCATGGTTTTGGTTGATGCATCTACTCAATGGTCACATGTTTACCCCTTGGCTACTTGAAATGTAACTTTTGCGAGACTTCTTGCTCAAATAATTAAATACGAGCACAGTTCACTTATCATCCTATTAAGTTAATTCAACTTGATAATGTTGGTGAATTTATATCTCAAAGTTTTGATGAATATTACATGACACTAGGCATTGAGGTTGAACACCTTATTCATCATGTCCATACTCAAAATGGTATAGCAGAAGCATTTATTAAGCGACTTTGATTAATCACTCGCGCTCTATTCATGAAAACAAAATTGTCAGTTTCTATAAGGGACATATCATTCTACATGTTGCATCATTAGCTCGATTGAGACTTGCTGCCAACCATCAATACTCCTTAGTACTACTTGTGTTTGGGCACCAACCAAACATTTTACGTTTACGACTTTTTGGTTGTGTTGTCTATGTGCCTATAGCATTGTCACAACGTACTAAAATGGGATCTCAACCCAGATTGAAAATTTATGGGTTTTGATTAACCATCTATCATTCAATGCTCAGAACCTTGACGGGTGATATTTCTACCGGCCGGTTTGCGGATTGTTATGATGTGAAAATTATGTTGACACACAAATTAAACCCTATTTGTGACAATTGTAGTAAGGATGTAAGTAGGGATCGTTCTAACCGGGGATTAACTAGGGGTGCTAATCTAACATAAATTGATTGAAAAACACAGAAACTAAACTTAAAGACTCTAACAAGACTACTATGACTCAAAACAGATTTGAAACACTCAAAACTGCCTAAAACAATCAAATTGACTCAAACAGAAACTAGAACTTGAATTGGACGAATTTGAAAGTGTTTATGACTCCAAATGCTTAAAACACAAAATAGAACAGACTTTAATGACTAAGACTCAACAAAATATGGGGGGAATGTGTTTGGACGAAAGTAAACTAAATGGGCAGATTGTAAAGAAAACAGATTGTAAGATAAAATTATGATGAATTAATGGATGATGGAATAGCTAAGGGGTTCTTCTCCACACATGAAATATATGCAACGTAAATCGATTTCCAGTTATCAATTTAATAAGTTATGAACCTCGACACTCCAAGTTAATTAGGTCCGCTTAAATTAACCTTAAGATTTCCCTACAATCATTGAATTGGATGAATATGCATCGCAAACAAATTATTCCTAACAAGTTCTCTATATGAACAACATGATAAAGATACAAGTTAGAATCATTACGTTCTTTGGAAATCATAAGCATCGACAAGGCATTCGTAACTATGAAAAACATGATACTCTTGCCAGGAATCTACTTAACACGATCGTGACTAGCGACCTTCACTACTTACGAATATAAATTCATAACGATTAGGTGAAACAAACTCATATCCTAGCACCAAATTCAAGCATGCAAATTAAGCGTGCACTCTCAATCAACATACAAGAATAAGTTCTAAATCAAACGGTTAAGCAAATTGTATTTACGACTTATGCAACGATAACTGAAAGTAATCAACTTATTTCACATATATAATCATGGTTTTGAATCCACCCTTAGCCAAAATGAATTTAGCCAATCATACTTAAAGCAAAACAAAGATTACATGAATTAGACATTGAAATATAAGATAGAAAACACCTAAAATCGTTCAACAACTCAGAATGAAGAGCCAAACAATTGTAGAGAATCTATCCCCTTTCCTTGCTTGCGGCAGATTGGGTGGTGGTGTTTCCTGGATTGTTTTGATGATGTAGAATGGAATTTGGGGGGTGTAGAGGCATGGCAAGGGGTGTAGGATGAGTGTGGATGAGTGTTTGATGGGTGGAAGGTGGTGGAGAGCTCGGCAAAGATGATGGATGGGTGCTGCAGATTGTAGACTAGGGTTTCTGGAATGTAGAATGAATATGGCAGATGGTAGTTCGGCCTAGATGTTATAATGTGTATATATAGGCATCCAAAACCCTAGGGCAATCAGATTAGGACCTTTAAAACCCAAATCCATCAGAAATTAGGTTAAAACAACCAGATTTTTAATGGGAAAAAGGCCTAGGGTGCGGCTGGTTTGCTAGGGTTAGAGATGGGCCTTCTAGAATGCCTTGCAAGGCAAGGAAATCAGGTATTCTAGAAGGCTAGGTGCGGCAAGGGTTAGGGTGATCAGATTAGGCAATGGGCTAGGGTTTAGGTGCGGCAAAGGGTGAAGATCCACAAGGAATTAGGGTTTAGGTCCACTTAGTTGTAGAAAGGGATGTGTATAACCCAAATCCACAAGGAAAGGGCCTAACAAGTCAGAATTCAAGAGAGATTGGGCTAGGAAGGTGCGGCTCCAATCTAAGAGGGTAAGGATGGTTCATCTAAAAGCCCAAAGCCACGAATAAAAACTCTCGGAAATGGAAACCTCCAAGAATAGAAACTTCCAACTTTAGAAACTTTGGTTTCCAATTCCGAATTCTTTGTTCTTCACTTTCATTTCTTCATTTCTTAAGCTCCTTTGACCTTCAAACTCGTCCATTCCTTGTGCTCCATAAGCATACACAACATTCCAGCTCAATTTTGCTCTAAAATGCTCCATTTCGCACTTCTTTGCATACTTTGTCTCTAAAACCTGAAACTACACGAAAATGACTTTAAACACTTAAAATAACTAAAGAAAAACAACATAAATGCACAAGAACAAGCCAACTAAGTCGCATAAATATGCTCCTATCAAATTCCTCCACACTTAGCTTTTGCTAGTCCTCGAGCAAAACACAATCTAAACCTTCCAACAATTGCCTCAGGGATTTCCAATGCACATGACATGTTAAAAATCATTATCTCCACAGATTTAAGTCATCTTTACACTTGAGCACATACTTAATCATAGTCACCACTTACTAGTTCACAATTAATCAATTAAAACAATGTTTTTGAATGTAGTAACATGCCTTAGAGAATTCGCCTCAATTCCTTACAAGATATATGCACTCAATTTTCACTCAGATTTTCTAACTACAACCCTATACTAGTTATATGTGAGAAGATTGATGTAAATATGAAAACGAATGCTCACATATATGTATCACAAAGAAAGCAATTTCTGGAGTTAATAAGCATGTTTAGATATGATCTCATGAATGGAATGCTACTACTTAGATGCGAGAACCAGTGACACCATATGCTCATACCAAATTCAAACTCCACAAATTGAAACACATAACACTCAAGATTGAAGTCAAGGGTTGTAATGGGGCTTGGGGTATTGGTTAACAAATGAAGGATAAGGATAACAAACGTTCTTAAAGCAATAGCAAGCAAAGTAATGAAATTAAAACTTAGAATTCACTTAGATTGCAGAAATAAACTTTTAGACACGAAGGGAAGATTCAAGCAATATTTAGGGCCGAATTCAATGTTTTGGACCCTTTCTTCAACAAACACATCTTAGAACTCTTTTTTTTTTTTCATTCTTTTCACAACTTTTCTCTCTCTCTTTTTTTTTTTATTTTTTTTTTTTTTTTTTTTTTGTTTCATGCCGTGACTATGGCGCACTAATTCACACTTCCCCCACACTTGTTTTCTGCCATACATTAATCAAAAAGGAATTCAATTTGAATCATGCTTTACTATGCTTCAAGAACAAGGGTATGGATGGTCCTAATCTAGGCTAGGTGAGGTTAATGTGGGTTAACAAACAACATGGGCTAAACAAGGCTCAACGGGGTTAAACCTACAAAACAAATGCATGGAATGAAGGCTTTTTGGCTATGGTGGTAACTACTAACTTCATCTTGAATATGTGTTATGCAATTCAATAACATGCTTTTGAATGAAATGGGCAATGAGTTCTAGCATTTGGAACTAAATGATGAAACGCCTTCTAAGTAATAAACCAAGCAAAGAATAATGAGATCATGCAACGACTTTAGAAAACAACAATGCACAGATTTTAACTCTCCAAATAAACGTTTAGGCTCAAGTCTCACAAGGTTGTAGCGTTTGTTTGAGTTCCTTCCTTCAAGCATGTTACAAAAACTGAATTTTTTTTCTTTATGATTGCATGTGAATTCATAAGTTATAACCACAACCAAGCATAAACAAAGAGTAAATCAAACTTTCATCCATGTTAATCACTCTCTTTAACAGCCATGCAATTACAAACCGAATCCTCATCATTGTGTTGGAAGGTACCCTAAGACACAAACAAACACACAAAAACAAATCAAAACAACTCTTTTTGGATTTTTTTCAAAACAAATTTTCAATTTTTTTTGGGATTTTCGGATTTTTTACAACAACACATACTAAAAACACACCAAAAACTGCTCAAAAACACTTTAAAAACAGCAAGGAACAACATTTGAAATTATGGGTGATAAAATCCCTACGAATTTGCATCTAAAACACTTTGGTTACCCCCCCACACTGAAATCAAACATTGTCCTCAATGTTTCAAGCATAAACTAACACAACTAACCAACAAGCAAAGAAAACAGCAACTAAAACAACTAAATGGCAGAAACGAAAATAGCAACAAAGAGAAGGGTTTAGGAACGCAAATCTGGAATTGGAGTGCTCTCTAGGTCTTCCTTTGTCGAATGCATGGGTTGCCTCCCAAGTAGCGCTTTCTTTAACGTCGTGCAGCCGGACGATGCCACATTGATCAACCTTCATGGGAACCCACGACATAGTGGGTTGTCTCCTCCACATCATGTTCTACAAAGCTCTCGTAGTAAGGCTTCAAGCGATGCCCATTCACCTTGAACTCTTGACCTGTTTTGAAACTACGAACTTGGACTGCACCATGAGAAAAAACATCAGTAATAACAAAGGGTCCAATCCAACGTGAACGTAACTTACCCGGAAATAGACGAAGACGAGAATTAAACAACAACACTTTTTGTCCAACAGAGAAGGACTTGGTGTGAATCATCTTGTCATGAAAGGCCTTCGTCTTTTCCTTGTAAAGGCGAGCATTCTCGTAAGCTTCATTCCGTATTTCCTCAAGTTCATTCAATTGTAGCTTACGGTGAAGTCCCGCCTCATCTACATCCATGTTGAACTTCCTCACGGCCCAATGAGCCTTATGCTCCAACTCCACAGGTAAGTGACATGGTTTACCATACACAAGCCGAAAGGGGGACATTCCTATGGGTGTTTTGTAGGCGGTCCTATAAGCCCACAATTCATCTTCTAACCTCAAGCTCCAATCTTTTCTTGGTCATTTCACACAGTCACAGCTGGATAAGGGAAATAGGGTGTGGGCCCCCACGACTACACAAAATCCTCACATAAAAATAATGATATTAAATAAAATATCATAATAATAATATAGTATTATACCCTTTTTGATCATTTCACACAGTCACAGCTGTTTTACATAAAAGTTTACCAAACACTATCATACTGTTTTTTTTTTTTTTCCAAAAGCACTTTTACAAAAAAGTTTACCAAACACTCTATTGCTTTATTTCACAGCTGCTTATTCTCATAGCACAATATAAGCATCTTTTTTTCAAAGCACAGCAATACCAAACCAGCCCTTAAAGAGCTCAACAACACTGCTAAATATTTGACAAACGAATTTGAAATGAAATATCTGGGGAAAACAAAATTATGCTAGCGGAACTTTGGTCCATCAATCAATTTACGTTGAAGAAATCTTAAAGTGATTTGGCGTGGATAAAACTCATCCACTTAGCACGTCAATAGTCACTCGGTCTCTTGACATTAAGAAATATCAATTTCGCCCAAAAGAAGATGATGGAATGGTTCTTGGTCAGAAGTACCATATATGAGTACAATAGGTGTTTTATTGTATTTACTATTTAGTACAATGTACTAGACTAGATATAGCTTTTTCAATCAACTTATTAGCAAGATATAACTCTAATCCAACAATTCAACATTAGAAGGTAACCAAAGACAAAACAATGTCTTCGTGAGACAACAGACATGAGCCTGCTTTATTCCGAGAAACCTACATATGACAAGATTCTTATTGGATATGCAAATGCTAGTTTTCTCTCTGATACACATAAAACCTGCTCATAAATTTGATATGTGTTCACTTATGGAAATACAACAATCTTATGGCTCTCAACGAAGCAAACATTAGTTGCTAGATTTTCCAATCACTCAGAAATACTTGCTTTCTATAAAGCTAGTCGTGATTTTTTTTTGTTAATATCAATAATCCATCAGATCTGGAACTCATGTAGTCTAAATTCAAAAACAAACACTTCAACTATCATTCAGGAAGACAATGTAGCGTGTATTGCTCAAATGAAGGAATGATTCATCATGGGCAATAAGATTAAACACATATCTCTAAAGTTTTTTTAATACACGTGACCTCTAAAAAGGCTAAAATTATTGAAGTCGGACAAATCCATTCCAACGGTAACTTGTCAGACCTATTCACCAAATCTTTACCAAAGTGTACAATCCAGAAGTTGGTGCATGATATCGGATTAAAGTTGACTTAGTAATCAATCATATTGAAGAATTCAAAATCAGAGGAATATACTCATCAAGGTATCCAATATACATGTGTATTCTACTTTTCCCACTTAGTTTTTCCTAACAATGTTTTAACGAGGTAACAAAAGCACACTCAACACTATACCAATGATCCAAGCATTGTTGTACTCTTTTCCTTTGCTGCAATTTTTTTTCCCAATGAATTTGTTTTAGTAAAGTTTTAACGAGGCAAGCGATATTAATATATGGGCATCCAGGGAAAGTGTTGTGAATGGTGTGATGTGAATGCCCATTGCTACGTGGCTTAAATAGTGTTAGTTAGGTTTTTATTATTTTGGTGTGTGGATTCTCCATAAGCATTAAGGGGGATGTTGGATGAAAACTTCTATATAAAAGGTATATTTGTATCATTGTTAACACCAACAAAGAGATGAAAGTTGAAAGAAATTATACAAATTTCCCTTGCTTCTTCATTTTCTTTGTCTGACACAAATGAAAGAAAACAAACAGAGTGATACATGATCATGTTCCTCTTCAATCTCCAGCACATGTTTTCTCGCATTATTTTTTGCCTATTCATAACATGGGTGAACTTATTTTTCTTTATTTAATTAGGTTATTTTATTTACACCTCATATTTTTCTTTAATATTAAACGATGGATTCATATACTCTAAATTTAAGTCCTAAAAGGTAAAAATCAAAAAGAAAATTCTGAATACAAGACAAAAAAATTTCCTTACTCATATTCCTAAACTTCACTTCTAGGCTCTAAAAATTTGCATGAACTTAGCTTTTAACATAAGCTACATATGACTATTTCCAGAAATGAATGAACAGGCTTTCCGTGAAAGTTTGAAAGCTCAATATCAGACTCCATCACTTCAATATATATGCATATAAATACAAGACCTAACAGCCCTAAATTGAATAACAAGCAACATATGAATATGTAATATTAAATGCTCCAACAGACTTCTCTTCGTCTCGTTTTTTGGCATGGGGGCTTGGCCTTCCTTGTAGTTCTCTTGTAGGCCTTTGTTTCCACTTCTGTTGCTTTAGTTGGTTTAGTTTTACTGTTCCTATAGCAGTTCCACTACCAAATTTACCAAGGACAGATTTGGTGGTTTTAGTTGTGAAAGCCAACATGAAGGAAGAGCTGGTGAATAACTTGTTCAACTGACCTAGCAACGTACTCCATGACATATCTCGCTGGTTGAGTGAAGACCAATATAAAAGCATCGGGACATGTGGCACTGACTACCTTATCCACACCTTCTATAGGGGCCGAATTTTTGGAAATTATCCCTTCTTCCTAATTCACCAAATCAGTAGATCCGTACTATTAAAATTTGATTTAACGGCTGAAGTTATTATAACTTTTAAAATTGGCCCTTGTTTGTAGCCGATTGATCAATTTCAATGGCACAGATTCCCTAATTTGGTGGATTAGAAGAAATGGATCTGGAGAAGATCTCTTTCCGGAATTTTTATTGATCATTTGTTAAATTCATTGCATTTTGTGCAAGGTGTGAGACATCCACACACCCCATTCTACTTCTCACACACCTTTTTAATTTTTGGTCACCAGATCGGATGAATTGAAGAAGATTAACGAACATAAATTATCAAGGGGTGTGTGAAAAGTAAAATAGGATATGTGAATAGCACACCCCTTTGTGCAATTCCGACTGCCAATACCACAATGTGGAAGCACTTCGTTAAGTCCAAATTGTCACTTTTACCAAAAAAAGAAAAAGAAAAAAAAAGTCTAAATTGTCACTCTTGTAATTATATAACATTAGTCTTTCAAAAATATTGACCTGTAGTTAGCTCATATATTGATTTTAATTCTTTGAATTGTACTTTCAAGTTTTATTAAAATTCATATTCTATTTTTGTTATTTGATGTGTATTTTTTACTTGGGAATTGTTATTGGCACTCTATAAATCTCATTTTGCACTCCAAATTTTCAATAATTAAAAAGAAAAATATACTTGTGAGGAGTGTAGAATGAGATTTCTGCTAATAACAATTCCCTTTTACTTAATGTCTTCACATTAAAATTTTGGTTTTATTAATATGCACATTTTAGTTCATCCAATTAATAAACTCAAATTAAAAAACATTAAAAGAAATTAGTACCACATAAGGAAAAATATGTAAATACGTAAGTGTACAAGAATGACTTTAAATTGACTTGTTTGTACCGAAATGTCTATACATAAATGTTTGTACCAAAATATTTGTACCTAAATATTTGTATCAAAATGTTTGTACCTTTCGACAAAAAAAAATGTTTGTACCTAAGTGATTGTACCGAACTATATTGTAATGAATTTATGTACCTAAATGTTTGTACTCAGATAATAGTAAATTAGTGTAGACTTAGGAAAAGAAAAATTATGAAATTACCATTAAATTGAAATTAAATGACATAGACTATAAATGCTGACATTTAAAAAGAACCGATGGACTAAACTAAGGGAGTGTTGCGAAATCTCATTCCTAGATTTCACTATTATAATCTACGTATTTGTATGATTGAGATTTTATATTATTTCTCGAGAATTGATTTTAATTTGTTTGAATTTAGATTTTAATTAAACTAGTTACAAAGTTAGACGTTTGGAAATTAATTATTTAAAATCCGTAGACCTTTCGATGTAACAATTTATATTTTATAATAGATCTTGAAACCACGAACATATAGGCGAAAGCCGTTTGCGAGTCCGGATTATAACGGTATAGTTACGGATATTTGAAATTGTTTTACTAAACTATAGATTTTAAATCAATTAAACTTCCACAAGGAAGAAGCCTAATCAGATTTAAGCAAAAATAAATGGACCAATCAGCTAGAAGAAGAAGGACCAATCAAATTAAAGGGGGAAGGTTTCAAAAAAAAAAAAAAAAAAAAAAAAAAAACCAAGGGAGGTGTCTGATTCTAACCCGTTTCAGGGGGAGATTGGATCCGTTAACCCACCAACTTGACCTGTTTGTATCTCCTTCGTCCGAGCTGTGTTTTGGGTGATCTTGGTGTCCATGGAAAGCTCTTGACGAGCTCTACATCTCTGTTGTGTTAGATTTCCCATTTTCTTTTCCTTCTTTGCAGTTCGAAGCCACAAAGCTACGACTTTTTCGACGGTTTTATCATTTTTCCAATGATTACGACAACCATTTCCTTCGAGTGAGGTATGAAACTTCATCTACTCTTCATAATCTTCAAGTTGGTATGCTTGGTTCGTACTTTCGTATTCATTTTAGAGTTGGGTGTTTAGAACCCTAGAAATCTGGTTTTCTTCGGTGAATTTGGACGATTTCTGATTAGAATTTATTGTCAGCCTAGTTGTGAAAATTAAGGTTTTCTAAACCCTCCACCTTGGCTACCACCACATGTGGCAGTGCGTGGGACATTCCACGAGTGTTGTCTAGGTACCAAATACCTTCTAGTGACCCTATGAACCTATGTCTAGCTCAATTTCCCGAAATTCAATTGTTTGGTGTGGTGATCAAATTGGACCACCACTTGTTTGTGTGATTGACGACAATCCGATTGTTGGATCGTCGTACAATTTTGTGAGCACCCTAGTTATCAGTTGTTGGACTTTTGAGAACTTACGAATTGGAAATCCGATGTGCGGATCTTCTGGATTGAATAAC